AAAAAAATATTATCATTCACTAATCATTTCATAAAATAATCATACAAATATAATATAATATATATATATATATATATATATTATTTTATTTTTTATAGAAAAATTTGGGGGAACCACGCCCCTATTAGTTAGCAACCTCTTAGTGCGGCCTCTGTCAAGCTTAACAATGGAAGTTCCTTGGCCAATCTTGACTTTGGTGGTTTATTTACATATTGTTTTGTATTTATTTCCCATTGATAAAAAATTATTAAATAAATGAAACAGAATAATAACTTTATATAATTAATTTTATAATCATTTTTCTTTACTAAAAACAATACAACAGAATAATCACTTTCTAAATAATTTATGAACAATATAAATAGAAAAAATAATTAATTCTACATTAAAAGTTTACATAATATAAAACAAATAATTAATTCTAATTATGTTCCGGAGAAAGTATTGTCCAACTTTAATTAGCGTACGTGTATCCGTCTTTGACGTAGAATTTTATCCTTCATTTATTGAATCATTTAGTTTTGTATCTTAAAATTCTGGTCACAATGCAAGGCACTTTCTTTTTCTTTTGGTCCAAGACACTAGCAAATAGAAAAGAATAGCGTGTTATTAAGAATAATTGTAACTTGCAGTAAAAAAAATAAAATTGTAACTTGAAAATGTCAGAACTAAATATTATAATATTACGTTGTGTGTGTTTTTTTTAACCATCTCATCTGATGATATCCTCTAAAAAACATGTTGACAATCAATATTGACTTGCATTTCTCATCATATGTTACAAAATCCAATGAAAAAGTAATATATTTATTATAAGACTAGTAAATTGTTTGAATCACTATATGTCCTGATTTTTTAACATGGTTAACTAAAGCTTTGTTTATTTTTTTTCTTTCCATTTTTATCTTCTCGTATTTTCTTCCACTAATTATTTGTTTCTATCATTGGATAATCCACTTACTAGTCCACTGTTCATTATGTATAGAAATGCTCAATTTCCCAAATTTCGGAAAGCAATTAATTTTTTTTATTCACGGATGGTCCATTTGTTTGTCCACTATTCATTGTTTCATCTGTTTCGTTGTAGTTTCCTTTCATTTTTTTTCCTAGTTGCATAGGATAACAGTACGAATTGGGTTCCTTTTTGCCACAACAAAATACCTTACAGATATATCGGTTGCTTAATTTTGTTAGCTAAGTAACAATTAATAGTATAAATTAATAAAATGTAATATTAAATAATTTTTAAAATTTAAAAATTTATAGACTTTGATGATTAAGAATTTTTAGTTGTATTTTAAAAAATTTGATGTAATATGTGAATTATTATATATATATATATATATATATATATTTATTTATTTAAACATGTGTAGCAATAAAATGTGTTTGGATCATGTAGGTATAAGAACGTGTGCGGATCCAGTAGCAGGAAGCCCATACTGGAGGCGAAATTTGATTGGAGAATTTGAGCATGAACCATAGATATTTGTATAAAAAGAGCAGAAAAATCTGCGGTCTCGGAAATGTTTGGGTGTGGTAATTTTTGTCGCGTGGTGCCATTAGTCCTTTGATAAGTCCCCAATCACCAATCCCAAGCTTCTTGGGCACGAACACCAATGCCGCAAGACACACGCAACTCAATTATTTTATAAATTAAGCGCGAGAGATTCTCTTTCTCTGTTGCGTTGCGCGTGTCTATAAAATTCTCCCACTCTCCACAATTCATTTCCATCTAACAATGGCTTCAACTCTGCTCCACCTAGCAACCTTCTTCTTCTTACTCTTCACCGCTTCTTATTTCAAGGTATTTTCTCACCTCTTTATCCCTAATAATGATTAGTACCTCGTTTAGTTCTCAAATCACTTTGTTCGTTGCAGATTGCTGGGGCGGAAACGCACCGCTTGACTACTCTCAAGCTCAACTCTCATATTCTTCAGGTGATTTCGTTAACTCTCAAATCACTAGGGTTTGTTTATTACTACTTGGTCACATGAAATTGGGGGAAAACATAATTACTAGATGTTAGTGGCTATGCTTATATTTTTTGTTTCGTTTGTGTAAGTGCTATTTGGTCATGTGATTGATGAATCTTTTTATTTAACATTATGAGGCAGGAGTCTATTGCTAAACAGATTAACGAAAATCCTGAGGCAGGATGGGAGGCTGCAATAAATCCTCGTTTCTCTAATTATACGGTTAGCCTTTTTTCTTCTTCTTCTTTTTCTTAGTTATTAGTGCTCTTTAAAAAGTGTGGATTTCACTTGCACATGGTTAGTTACATAATATGCTTTGATTCTCAGGTTGAACAATTTAAGCGCCTTCTTGGAGTTAAACCAACTCCTAGGAAGGAACTGAGAAGTGTACCCGCTATATCTCATCCAAAGTCGTTGAAATTGCCGAAGGATTTTGATGCAAGGACAGCTTGGTCGCAGTGTAGCACTATTGGAAGAATTCTAGGTAACCACTTATTTGCTCCTTATTTTTCTAATTAAATTAAATAGTGCATTTGGAAGGAGGTGTTGACTTTTGTTTTTATTGTTGATAATCACATGGATTGCTAAACCAATTTCCTTATTAAAGATCAGGTAATCCTCTTATTTTCTCACATTATCAACTTCTAAGACATTCAAGGTTCAAAGAGATTTTAGCTGATCCTTGTGCTTATTGATGATTCAGGGTCACTGTGGTTCTTGTTGGGCATTTGGCGCTGTTGAATCATTGTCAGATCGCTTTTGCATTCATTTTGACGTTGTGAGTAAAACATCTTACTGAAGCAACGATGAAATTTGTCTTGCTTATTGCGTGTGATTGTGAATATTCACGACAATTTTTAGTCTTTTTTTCCTCTCCTTTTCTCTCTGGACACACACTTACTTGAGAGGCTGGATTGCTTGAAAGAGGAATTTATATCCTATCTGTTTAATTGCAGAATGTATCTCTATCTGTTAATGATCTTCTTGCATGCTGTGGCTTTCTGTGTGGATCTGGATGTGATGGGGGATACCCCATATATGCATGGCGATACTTAGCCCACCACGGTGTTGTCACTGAAGAGGTAATACATTTCCATTTTGCTTTGGCAGTTTCCACTTGGTAATTGTGAAAATGGTTATTGTTCAGAGACAATGATCCAAGGCTCCTTTTCCCTTAGATCTTCCCTTCAGTTGATGCTAACTTTGTGGCTAAGACTTACATTTCACAACTTATCCCTCTATCTGTCATCACCCAAATTTCTTAAAGTCAGCATTTTCTTATGTGGCAGTGTGACCCTTATTTTGATCAAATTGGCTGTTCTCATCCTGGTTGTGAACCAGCTTATCGGACTCCCAAGTGTGTTAAAAAGTGTGTAAGTGGGAACCAGCTTTGGAAGAAGTCAAAGCACTACAGTGTCAATGCATACAGGGTCAACTCTGATCCCCATGATATCATGGCAGAAGTTTATAAGAATGGGCCAGTTGAAGTTGCATTCACTGTTTATGAGGTAAATGAAAACTCTTACTCACACTTTTGCAATTAATTTTTCTGCAACTTTCATGGTCAATTTCTGAAAACTCAAAATCATCGATAATTAAAATTATAATTATACAATAATGATGTGGAGACAATTGATAGAGAGTGATTGAGATTGGGTGTCATGTGAATTGACATGCAAAACATGTTATACAATTGAAACTTATGGATAGGTGTTGAGATAAATGGGAAATCTCTACTAGGTTTTCATGGTTTAGGAGAATAATTAGTAGGGAAGTTGAAGTGAATATTCAATTATTGGAGCTTCAGATCTCGGTGTGACTTTGACCATTTGAGGCTTTTCAGTCTGCTTGACTATAAGCCTCATCAGAATAAATATCTATGTTGCATTCTTTTGGCAGATTATATTGGATTCCAAAACTAATTGTTGATTGACTTTATGTTGGAATATTGAAAATAAGTATGTTTTGCGTGAAGGAGGACTGAAATTCCATATAAGTAGTACTGGTAAGAGTTGAAAAATAAAGAGTGGTTTGGCAAAGCTGTACAAGTGGATGTTGGAGTCAGTGGAACCATCCTTCAACCCTAGGCTATTGCTTTCAAAATTTGTCTTTTTCTCATGAAATTATTGTTTAAGCTAAAGATAAAGTTCATTATTTTTATCATTCTGAAAGGACTTGCCTTATTGTATGTGATTGCGATGTTGGGATAGTGATTGCTAGAATTAGGATGTGCACTTTTCTAAGTTGCATTTGTAATTAATGAACTATGAATCATGAAATTGAAAATTCATTTTAGGTTAGCAATACGAGTAGTTATGGTCAAAACAATGATAGAGTGCATGCTTTGAATATAGAGATTTCACTGACTTGTGATATCTTTTAAATCCCAACAGCTAAATCAGGCAAAGGTAGAAATTTCTACAAGCTTGATTGCAGTCGCCACAAAAATTAAGAGAGGAAATTCATGCTAAACAAATTCAGTAATTTTTAACTACATGAGACTTTGCATCAATAAAATCAGAACTAAATGAGGCAAAGTAGTGGATGAAGAGATTCTATTACATTTGACCCAGAAAAACAGTCTACAAAGCTATGTTGCTAATTGGTTGGAAGAATTTAAAGAAATATATTGTAAGAGGAGACTGATTTTAAAGCTGCAAATTTTTGTTCAAACAATTTTTTTTTCCCTTCAACAAGTCTAGAATTTCAAAATGAGTTTTTGGATTTCCAGGTTTTAAGGTTAATCTGGGAAGTATTCTATATATTCCTGGCTAATAACAGAAATGTTGCTCAAAGCCTCAAACAATATTGTGCAAAACAAAATAGCTCTTATGATATATTTATGCTAACATACTTTTTCATTAATATATATGCCAAACAATTAATTATACTTTTTCATTATGGTATTGGCATATAATGAGAGTGCAAATTGAATATGATAGAAGTTAAACAGAATATTTGACGGGAGAATGGTTTGGGGATGTGATAAATGAACTGGAGGAATAGTAGGTGACAAAGCTGTTGGGTTGAGAAAAATTATAGTAATTTTAAAAAATTATTTTAGAAAATGGTGGGTTTCAATTAGTATTAAGAACTCTTCTAATTAAGTTTCCCCCTTATTTGTCATATTGGCACAAGTTCTTGCTTTTAGCGGGCCTGTGATCCATTACAATTAACCTTCCTCCCCCACAAGTCACCAGCAGTGAACCTTTTCTTTTCCCTGTTTTTTGATTGCCTTTCTTGAGCAGTGATGCTTTAAGAATTGTACAAGACCAGCCAAACATTTACTATTGAATTCTCCAACTTCATTATATACTTGCATTGGGATGCACTGATTGATTAGACTACTATGGGAATTGATCTAAATGAAATTTGAAACTCATTTGAAAGAGAAACCAGTACTCTTATCATGCTAGAAAGCTGAGAAGAATTAGGAAAGGAAAAACTGTGATTACGATTTAAAATTAAATAATGCTGCAATTATGCGTTCTTCCTTGTTGCCTAATTTCTTTGATAAATGTCAGAGACAATTGGTCAGTCCTCTTAATATTTCTTCTAGTTACTCTTGCTTCTTGGGTTTTTGATACATAACCGACAGTCTCTTATTGTCTTAACGTTGTTCCATTTACTCCATTTGATCATATTCCATAGATCTTCAAATATTCCTGTTGTGTTATGCTCAATTCTTCTCTTTTAATTAGGTTGGGCACTTGTCTTCTTGTTGTAATGGTGCCTCTAAAGTCTTTATCAATTTTTATTACTTTTTATTTTATTATTATAGGTAGTCCTTTGTGTCTCATTGCTCTCATCTTATGTGATTTATTATGTTCACTCCTTAATGTTTCATTGTGGCTGGTTCTAACTTGCAAATGTTGGAAGCTACTGGCCTTCATGGAGGGTTTAATGACTTTTGGTGCTATTTTAAGGTTAATGTTTACAAGTAAAAATAAAATAAAAAAAGAAGATCAGATGTCTAATGAGAAAAATTAGAATAAAATGCATAAGTTTATATGGATCAGATAGAAAAGGTCTAGGACCAAAATAACAGTAATTGTCTTTTCAAGGATGTATATTCTGCTCGTTAAGGGATCATTAGTGCAAGGGTTGTATGGAAGGGTTTTGGAATTAGGATATTTTTCTTAGCATTCAGTAACTAAATCAGAGTGAGTGGAATTACATTGTCGTTTACAAAAAAAAAAATTGGTCCAACACTTGAAAGAGTTTTAAAGAGGCTTTTTTTTTTTTTTTTTGGTTCTCCTCTCGTTGATTTTCCTTTTATTTTCTCCCCTTTGTTTATGTGCTCCTTTTATCAGAACAAAATGGATGCAATTGTCATCTTTTATACTTTTAAGGTTGTGGATTGACATTAGGAGTTAGGATGGAAAATAATAATTTGGCTTAAACATGTTTTTGGTCTCTCACTTTTAAAACTTTTTTTTAGGTCTATGTAATTTTCTAAACTTTTATTTTAGTCCCTTAGATCACTAATAATATATTTAAAAGTCACAAATTGAGACAGTTATGCAACATCAACTAAATTTAATGTTATGTGTTCACTAATGAAGACACTAGTGAGTTGATTTTATATGATATTTTTTGACAGATTTCCTAAAGAAAATTGAGTATAAGACAAGATTACCTTTTACTAATTTTGACCTCTTCACAGGATTTTGCTCACTACAAATCAGGAGTTTACAAACACGTCACAGGTTATGAACTAGGCGGTCATGCAGTAAAGCTAATTGGGTGGGGAACAACTGATGATGGGGAGGACTATTGGGTATGTTGACATGTTCTTGATCGAGAATTCAATCCTCCGGGACATATATACCATCTGAAATTCAGAGTTTTAAACTGATTATTGGGTATTTTTCTTTGTTTCAGCTTCTTGCAAATCAGTGGAACAGAGAATGGGGAGATGTATGTTTCTTGAATTATTCTTCAACTTGAATGTCTGTTACTTGAGATATGCCTTAGCTATTGGACTAATTTGATCTTAATCGCAGGATGGTTACTTCAAGATCAGAAGAGGAACAAATGAATGTGGGATTGAAGATGATGTAACTGCTGGTTTGCCTTCCACCAAAAATCTCGTAAGAGAGGTGACTGATATGGACGCTGACGCTGATGCTGATGCTTCATTTTGAATGTAGATATATACCTTACCGATTAATATTGTATGGGTATTGAATTGAAAATCAGTGCTAAAGGTTGTCTGTAGTCTGAATCTGAACCTCTCTTTCAAGGAAAACAATATAAATCATGATTACGATCTTCAGTTCAAAGACGTTAAGCTTTTGTTATTTATCTCTTACACGAGATAAAAGAATAATTGTTGTAATTACTAATCAGCAGTTGGAGTAAGTCATGTCGTCTTTGTAATATTAATGTCTTTGTAATATTAATGCTGATAATGCTTTGGCTTGATTCACAAAATCCTCCCTTTTTTAGTGTGTGATATTGATTTTCAAATTCCTGCATTTGATATTATAAGCTGTTCTTTGATATGTCTATCTTATGTTTTCATTTTCAATGAAAATGGAAAATACCGATAAGAATACATTTAAGTTTTAAAAAATATTTTATGTGGAACATTTTTAAAATGTAGGCAAAAATTAAAGACAAAGTAAAAAAGCTTTATTTTTTCCCAACTCTTTCCTACAAAATAAAATGCATGTGCCAAAAAAAAAGAGTAACATTGACTAGAAAAACAAAAATAAAATGCGATGGTATAAATCGTAATGACATAAACAGTAATTATAATACATTTTCTTTTTCCATTATGAATTCCATCATTCATTGTCTCTTCAAAGTTTATGCTAAACATATAAAGTAGTTTTTTTATTATTGCTAAACATGTAAAATAGTTTACAAGTACATAAACATAAATGTCTTTTATTATATATATATATAAAATTAACGTATATAAATAAAATGTATTTTTGATTATTACAAATTATTTGTGAAATATAATAAAAATAATAATCAGAATTTTTAAAACCGGTTCAGACCGGGGAATTGAATTCTACTCATGAAGAGTAGAGAGTTTTATTAAACATAAGGATGATCATTTATCCTAATATATTTATTTATAATATATGTAACTTAAATAACTTTTATAGTATATTATTAATTTTAAATTATATATTTAATAATATAATTTCTATATAAATATTATATATATTATTTTGTGACATTAATTATAAGTATATTATATATATATATATATTAATTTGCATTAATATACAATTTAACATGTAATTATTTTATGTATTTCTTTATACAAAATAAAAATAAAGATAATTTTAAGTAAAATGAAAATTGAATTTTAAGATAAGATATGAATTTATTAAAATTTGTAAGTATAAAATATATTTAATATGAACATTTTTTAAAAGAATTAATAAAAATCGGGTCATGCGATTCAATTAGTAATTCACTAATTCAACCTTTGATTCACTAGTCCAGTACATTAATCGATTTGATGATCAATCGATTTGATGATCGATCCGATTTTTAAAAGTATGACAATAATGATTTTATAAATAATTTTCTAGTTTTTGTATCTTTTAAAAACAAAAGATAAGTCCTCAAATTTAAAAATAAAAACTATTTTTGGACGATAGAAATGAATTTTTTTTTTAAACTAAGCAAGCCAATCTTTGGACTGATAAAATGTAGTTTTTTTTTATAAAGTTTATATAAATAATAATAATAATAATAATAATAATAATAATAATAATAATAATAATAATAATAATAATGGAAAATGGGCCTCTCCTTTTGTATTCGGATAGTTGCTTTTTCTCATGTTTCCGGTGAATAATAAAAAAGTTAGAATTATTGTGATGTTTTTCTAACAAATATACTATATTAAGTCAACATCGTGATATAAATTTAGTAATAAATAAGTTTTAATGATAGTTCAACTTTCTATAAGTTTAAAATACGAGTTAAAAAAATTATAATATTTCAATCTCACAAGTCTAAATAAAAGAAATTAAGTAATAACATAATAAATGTCAAGTGTTTAAAAAAAATTTAAAGTAATTTTATTATAATTAATATTTAACATATATCTACACTATATGTATCTTAATATTCATTTTTATTTTTATATATTAACAGGTAAAAATATATCCATTTAAATTATTTGTGATATCTATTTATTATCTACCGCAAATTTTAACCGAGTATTCGCGGATGATTTTTTTTTTCAACCCGAATAAGAACTAAAATATTTTATTTTTTAAATTACACGATTAAAAAATTAATTTTAAATGTAAGGGAAAAAATAAATTTACCTCATTTCAAAGAGATTAAAGGTCGGATTCTTATTTTTGATACTTCATAAGTATACATGAATGAAATATCAAATATTAGATTAGATGGATGCGTGTATGATGAAGTGTAATAAAATGATGAATGAGAATAAATAAAAAGGTGAATACTGAATAATGAAAGTATAATAAAATATGTGAAGTATTTTAATATAATTAATATAAGAACATGGTGTGGTTGGTATGTGAATGCATGCAGATGTAAATGGTAAATGAAGTTGACAACATAACAAAAGGGAAACTGGGAATATAAATTGCTTTTCTGTCGATAACGCACTCTCAAGTCTCAACAATGGGTTGACTATATATCTTCTCCGTTACGCAACCTTTGACAAAGCATCATGAATTTTCGTTAATTGCCATGAATCGAGATAATAATACACAATACCTCTGAAAGAACGAGAGTAACGTGACACCTGTTTTTTTCTTCGAAACATGTTGCTTTCTCAAATAAAGAATGAAAGTGATGGAACGATGCTCCTAAAAGGTGGTGAGAGAATCTATGTGCTGCATCGATACCACGTTTTGGTTTCTTAAAAGAACAAAAATGGGTTGTTATGCCATTAATTAATTGCAACTAAAACTTAAAACTGAATTCCAGCTATAAAAGAAAACACCCTCATTTCTGTGTCAAGATTCTTTTTAGTGAAAACAGTTCAAACAAGTAATATTAGTAATTATAAAACCACTTGTCCTTCCACCATGTCATTCACGTTCCTTTGAAAATAAATATTCCATTAATTAATTTTACTTCCATTAGCCGTTCACATGCTCATTATTTAATTCAGTTATGTTGGTCATATCAAGTGTGCAACTTTAAGATGCATAAAGACAACCAATTAATTTATTTCGAAAGAAAAAATAATACTATTGTTGATTAACTTTATCTAAATATCCGTTCAGTTTCCTCTCAAAGACTCAAAACATAGTTGTTTAAGGGAGAAACCTGCAAATTAGTTCCTTGTTTTACAATAAGTATTATGTGTAAAAAACAAATTAATTATCTCTTTTTATTTATATTTTTTAGAAACAAAAAATTAACCATAACATTTATAAAGTAACTTGAGACAAAATTTATATAGAAATGAGGAATTATTATGACGAATTAATCAGCCTTGGGCCCACTAATTGCCATTTCTTCCACGTTTCTTTATTTCCTTTGTTTTTATCTGCTTATTTGAATTTCAATCCTATTTACTATTTTTTTTCTTCTAATTACACCAAATTATTGCTGTAAGAATGCATTATTAAAAAGAGTTATACGACTACGTCAATAGTCATACTTTTTTTCTTCTTTCTAAATACACGCAATTATTTATACAAAATCTTATTGTATTAATATGTTTTTATGTGGAAATAAATATTTATTATTTCTTCGTTCGTCTCTATGAATAAGGTCATATCGTACCTTATAAAAATTCTTGTTTCACGGTAGACATTTTAAGAATGATCATAAAGTATTAAACCGTATTAAATCGCATTATTATTTTTTTTAATTGCCTATATCTTTTTTTTATAATAATTTTCAATTGGGTTTCTATTGTAATTAGGATTTCTTTTACGTTCAAATTTAATGTATATATCAATTTAACGTATATATATATATATATATTAAAATTCGAACCTTAATTTGAATGTTTCAAACAGTTAAAACATCTGCTAGAAAAATTCTGTGAGAGAGGATCTTGAGTTCAGAAAAATATATGCATGTTTCCACCTATACATGATATTAAGGATTGAAAAATCCTTACAAAATGATGTAAAAAAAACCGTACAAAATAAAAAAAAATAATTATTACATTAGATACCATTTTAGCATAATAATAATGATAAATAAAATTAATTATCATGTCATAATATTTAGATAAAAAAATTAACATAATTATAATGACTTCATTAAATAAATGATTTAATTATTGACTTTGATCTTCATTATAAGACATTTATGAGATAATTATATATATATTTTAAATTATGTTATTAATATAAAGTTTTATTGACTTTGTTTATAACTGATTTTTATCGGAGTATTTGGTTATTTACTTTTAGTTAAAATTTTCTTTTAAATAATGTTTTTTTAATATATAAAACTTGAATTTAAAATTTTGTTTAAAGAATTAAGTTTAATATAACTTGGACCAATCACTCGTTGATATAAGATAATTATACTAATTATTTTAGTTAATTATATAAAATAAAATTTTTATATATCAATTTTATTTATATTTATTTATTATGAAATTGTCATGAGAGAAGTGAAGATACTACTTAATTTCAAAATTTATGCATCATTGTCAATGAAAATGAATGATAAATATTAATTAAAAAGTTTAAAAGAATATGTATTTATTAAATTCTCTTTTCATTGTTAAAAAATGTATATAATTGGCGTTGAGAAGGAAAAAAAGGTGGTAGGGTGGATGGGCAAAGCGCATCTTGGGCGAAGACAGAGAATATTCACAGCATAAGATTAAGATTAAGCGGAAGCGAGGGGAAAAGAAAAGATTGCCTCATTGTTTTTCGCTGTTAGAGAAACATTTATATTTATAATAATAATAATTAAATAAACACGTTTTTATTTTTATTATGAAATAAAATCAGCGAAGATCGGTGTGTGTGTGTTTTATGTTTTAAGTTGGATCACGCTGAACTGAGCTGACGCGGCTTTCGTGATCACACACTCACTCGCTCAGTCACGTCTTTCACGTTGTTGGCGTTGGTTGCAGTGGGAAAGTAAAAGAAAATAATAATTGAAGAAATTCGCGGGAGGACTGAGGAGGTGATAAAATCACCTGCAACTGTGTCTGTAAGTCTGTAACTAACAAGTAAGAAGAGATGTCGATGATACCGAAGGAGCCGGAGCAGGTGATGAAGATGAGAGGCGGTTGTGTGTTGGGGAAGAAAACCATTCTCAAGAGCGACCATTTCCCTGGTTGCCAGAACAAGCGTCTCTCTCCTCAGATCGAAGGCGCTCCCAATTATCGCCAGGTAGGTCTTCTTCTTCGCTTTTTTTCTTTCCTTAATCCAATTCTGCTCTTGATTTAATTTCAATGCCCTTATTCTTAGGCATCCGACTCCTTGCATGTTCACGGCGTTGCCATTCCCACGAT